TGACATACTCACCCAGGTTATTGCATTTGATAGACCCCTTCCCTAGCAGAATTTGAAAATTAGACTGACTGAACGTTCAAGTGATACAACAGTTATACTACATGTAAACATAACCTTTGTTTCTGTAAATCTTTTCAGATATTGAATACAGTTGATGGTTCATTACTACGTACTTTGGTTGGATTTACCAAACCTATTATGAGTGTTGCTTACAGTGTTATGAATGGATTAATAGCCGCTACATCTGAAGACACTTTGATTCATATCTGGAATATGAATAGTAATATTGATGACAAGTTAACAGAGTATGTATAACTATCGTAAAAACTATTATTATACATCTGTCACCATAACGCCATAAGTTACAGCATGCCGTATTTTGCGGTATTGCACTGGGTATTTCATCCTAATATATTAGGAAATGCGAATTCCAAATATGGAACGATTATGCGCGTAAGTGTCCACTAATAATAAAAACAAACATGATTGCCCTCAGGGTTTTACCAGACCTCACACAAACATGTTCGGTAAAGCTGTTCTAAACGTTTTGGATTTTGGCATTCCCATGATGTATTCCTGTGAGGAAAGACTTCCCCAGTAAGTCTGTGGCATACCCACTCGGAGTACAGTGGCTTTGTCTTCCCCAGTAAGTTTGTGGCATACTCACTCAGGGTACGTGGCTTTGAGCTTCCCAGTAAGTCTGTGACATACTCACTCGGGGTACAGTGGCTTTGTCTTCCCCAGTAAGTTTGTGGCATACTCACTCAGGGTACGTGGCTTTGAGCTTCCCAGTAAGTTTGTGGCATACTCACTCAGGGTACGTGGCTTTGAGCTTCCCAGTAAGTCTGTGACATACTCACTCGGGGTACAGTGGCTTTGTCTTCCCCAGTAAGTTTGTGGCATACTCACTCAGGGTACGTGGCTTTGAGCTTCCCAGTAAGTCTGTGACATACTCACTCGGGGTACAGTGGCTTTGTCTTCCCCAGTAAGTTTGTGGCATACTCACTCAGGGTACGTGGCTTTGAGCTTCCCAGTAAGTCTGTGACATACTCACTCGGGGTACAGTGGCTTTGTCTTCCCCAGTAAGTCTGTGGCATACTCACTCAGGGTACAGTGGCTTTGAGCTTCCCAGTAAGTCTGTGACATACTCACTCGGGGTACAGTGGCTTTGTCTTCCCCAGTAAGTCTGTGGCATACTCACTCAGGGTACAGTGGCTTTGCCTCCCCCAGTAAGTCTGTGGCATACTCACTCAGGGTACAGTGGCTTTGAGCTTTCCAGTAAGTCTGTGACATACTCATTCGGGGTACAGTGGCTTTGTCTTCCCCAGTAAGTCTGTGGCATACTCATTCGGGGTACAGTGGCTTTGAGCTTCCCAGTATAAGTCTG